TGTAGACAGTAATAAATTGTCTTATCACCGGTGCTGACATAACATGCTCCTTTTTAAGTGCGCCATAATTTTTATTTTTAAGAGAATATTCATATTTGATGGCAGAGCTCATGGGCATCTGAATACTTCTCTGGAGAGAAGTCTTTTTTTTTTTTCTTTTTGAAAGAAGATATAATTCAGCTCCCAAATGCCACTAGCAGGGATAGGCTTGACTTCTAAAGAGACATTAGGGGCAGAATTTGGGGACATTGTAGACCCTTCATAGACGTGACTTGTCCTTCACCAGCAGGCATCAAAAGAATCAAAGCCCCTGGAGAATGTACGTCCTTCAACTGTCCGCCTTGCTGCCTTTGCACGATGGTGGCCAGGGAGCTGGTGCCCAGGCAGCTGGTGTGGCCTTGGGCTTTTCCATCCCAAAGGACGGGCTTCCCCGCCACCTGGGGGGACTCACTCCCTTGAGCTCCCCCTGGCAGGAGGGGCCTGGGGGTGTGACAGGCAGGGAGTAAAGAAGTCTGAAGCCTGCCTGGGGGTTCTCAGCTTTAGATCACGGAGCTAGCGAGTCCGGGCACTGTGTCTCCTTCCTTCTGCGTCCTCCAGGGGGCAACAGTGCAGCCTGCTGATCCCCAGGGAGCTGTTCTCCCCAGAGCGCAGTCCTGGAAGGGGATGCTACAGATGGTCCCTGGTCACCAGGGAGTCCTCAGGCCTGTCTCCTGTTTCTACTGACCCGTGGGGATGGGCCAGCTGGGGCATCCTTCTCCCCTCCCATCAAGGCTCTTGTGCCCAAGGATGCCCTCACTGTTTGACAGGAAGAGATGGGGCCGGGTTGCTGCCCAGCCTCCTCCCTCTGCCTTTGCCTTGTGCCTTCACAGCCACCCATTACAGAACCCTAACGGTTCACCTGACAAGACCTTAGGCAAGGCCCTGGCTCCCTTGGAGGATCGGGGCTTTCCTGTCTATAAAATAGTAGACAGGGGCTTTAGGAGCTCAGACACAAATGGATGCAAAAGCCTAACAGAGGGTTCAGGAGAGGTAAGTTTTTGTCTCTTCCTCTGCTCTTTCTTCCTTCACTGCCTGTTTCCCTCCTTTCATCAGGCACGTACAGGAAGGAGCTGAAGTCCCCAGGCTGTGCAGTCCTTCTAGGTCTGGGTTGTGGAGGGAGAGGAGAGGCTGGCCTGGGGGGTCTCTGCTGGGGGAGATACAAGGCTGGCCTGTGGGGCTGGCCAGCCTGGGGCATGTCTGTGTTAACACAGATACACCCACACAGACACTTCCAGAACCAGGCATGTTTACAAGTAGCAATCAGATATTGCTAAACCTCTGGCCTTATGAGAACAGCTCTCACATAATGCTGTCTGAGTGCCAGGCACAAGTCAAGGCACTGTACACTAATTCATTTAAGGCGGACACAAATATGCCCATTTTATGCTCAGCTGGGAAAACTGAGGCCCAGAGAGATCAATGGACTCATCTGAGGTCAGGTAGCTGAGAGGTGCAGAGCTGGGATGAGAACTCAGGTAGTCAGCACTGGAGTCTCTGCCCTAACCACAGTGCTCCTCTGTCTCTTCTCTCCCTGCCTGGACAATCCCACTTCACTTTGACCATCCCCTGCCTATTCCCAGGGACAGGACTTGAGTGTCACTTCCCCTCATGCTGCCTTGTGGCCCTGCCATGCACCGTGGCAAGTCTTCTGTTATCTTCTACCTGAGAGGCCATGACTAAGAAGGTTCCAGACTTCCCGTCTATCAAAGGTAAGGACTAAATTAGATTTTCTTCTTGACAGTGGTGATCACCTGTGACCTGTGCCTGGTACATGCTCAGGAGGGAGTATACTGTTCCATTTTGCCAATTTCTAATGAAAGATTACTTTTACAGGATGGAGGGAGAAAGGGCTCAGAAGGAGAAAGAAAAAGAATAAGGGAATTGGCCCCAGTCCAGATGAAAAGAGCCAGATGCAAAATCATTTGGGCCACATATGTGTTGTTTGCTTATCAAATTTTCAACCTTTGAAAAATAACAATATGGGAATCAGTAGCATTGCTGGAGTTCCTGTGGGTGGCAGGAGTTGGACACTGTGGCAGGTGACCCCGCAAAGGGTAAAGACAGAACCTGCAGAGGGTGAAGGGTTTCCCAAGTCTCACTCCTGGAGCGAGGGGAACAGGCATGGGCAGCCGGTTGGGTCCCATGTCATGCAGCTATGTTCTCTGCTGCTGGTGAGTTTGGCATCAAAAGAAAACATAGCAGGAATGATTTTGCCTGGGTTGGGGATTTGGGGGAGTTTAGACTATAAATAGTGAGGAGGATATAAAAAGCCTTAAGAGGATTTTTGGAAGCCCTAAATCCACCACGTAGACCCAAGCAAGTTAACAGGAACCACTTAGGTTTCAGTGAGGTCTAAATGTAACTCAGCATAGCGCCCTCCCCTCCACTGTTGCCTTCCAACTGTCATGGTTCACGTGTCCGCTGTCACCACAACCCTTGCCAGCATCTGCCAAACCAAGGACACGTGTGTCAGGAGGTCTGCTGCCAGCATGCCAGCTGCCAGGTACTGCTTAGCCTTGAGTTACCGCCTGGCTGACTCCCTAAGGGAAGGCATCATTGGCAGCCTCTTCTACAGCAGAGAAAACGGAAGCATAGGAGGTTAGGTGCCCGGCCCAAGGTCACACAGCCAGCAAGTGGTGAGCTGGATTCCACACTCAGCTGAGGCCCACTCAAAAGGCGATCCTGAGGAAATTATGCTAGAATCAGCAGAAAATTACCTGTGTGTGTGGGAAGGTATCTGCTTGCCTCTGTGCCTTGCTTCTTGGACACCTGTGGTCCCAGCCTTCTCTTTTCTATGGGCCCTTATTTCATTTAATACATGGACTATCATAAAACCCCTTTGCCCTCCTGTAGCCCCTGCTCAGGAAGCCTGAAGCCCACCCTGGTCACCGAGGTGCTCAAAATCGATGGAGATCCAGAGTTGAAACTTCCCCGCCCTTGGTCCTCTATCCTCAAGGTCTGCTGCCGACTCCTAGATACCTACAAACAGGTCTTCTATTCTTGACTCTTTTAGGAACATCACTGTGGCTAATAGTGAGGGAAAGATAACATGGAGGGAGTGACATTTAGGATGACAGCCGACCATCCCATTTATAGGAAAAATCCAGGGCTCTAATACATATTTTAAAAATCACTGGACTGGCGGCATAGCCCTGCCACCCAGCATTGTATTAGCCAACTACTTCCCAAGGCTCTGGGAGAGGCTGCGGTGGGAACATTCCAGATCAGAGGTTCTGCCTTGTTTAAATAGGGGTGGAGCGAGATTGCCAGATCTGAGGCTTCATCTTGCCAGTGAGAAATGGGGGTGCAGGGAGCAGCCACTGAGGCCTCACCATGAGTCACACACAAGGCTGGCAGTGAGGCCAGAAATCACACTTGGGCCCCCAAACATAAGGTCCTACAGCCAGGGAGAGGCATTCTGCCTGGAGACTGAGAAGAATCCAGTCAGGAAGACATGGTGGAAGTCAAGGTGCCCGGGCCTGAAGGGCCAGTCTGTCTGGGAGCAGCCACTGGCCCTATGGTGGGACAGGAAGAGCAAGAAAAACAGTGCTAGCTTGCTAAAGGCCGTGCCCCTGAGTTTGATCTCCACCCTGCTGGCTGAGAAGACTCACTGATGGTCTAAGTTGTCTCATGGGAGTGCCTGGGAACCAAAACTCTGGAGACAGCAGGGAGGGTGATGAGGGGCAGCAGCTGGAGCCAGAGAGACCACCTGGGAAGTTAACACCACAGACAGCGCGATATGGTCCTCGGCTAGGGCGGGACGCCTGGGGACATGTGAGGGAACTGGTGAGAGGTGGGAGTCGGGCCGACTGGGTCAGGGCATGAAGGCCACAGCACGCCGTTGAGGCCAGGGTCTGGTCCGGGTGGGGGTGAGGAGGTTAGAACAGGCTGCTCTGGATTTCAGAGGCCAGAGAGAGCAGAGATATTAAGTAAGGAGGTGACGATGTGGCAACCAAGATTCCTGGCCTCCTGAAGACAGTGTGGGGCTGCGGGTACAGGTCTGAAGGCCTTCAAGGCCAGGCGGGTTGGAGCTGTGGGAATGCCCCTCCTCCGCTTTCCACCCTTCTTGGGATGGAGTGCAAATTCTTGCCAAGGCTGACGAAGCTGTCACAGCCCGGCCTCTGGCCGTGCCTCTTGTCCCCTCTCCCACTACCCTCTCACTGCCAATGCCCTTGCCGCCCTGCCTTCCCTCTAGTTCCTCCACCACACCAGGGCTCTTCCTGCGCCAGGGCCTTTGCACACGCTGGTCCTGAGTGGGCCCTCTGCCTGGAGCTGGGGGAGGGATGCCTCCACCCAGGGGTGGGAGAAACTCTGCTCCTTCATCCCTGAGTCACCAGCTCCCTGCACTGCAAATCCTCAGCGTGATCTCTGTGTTCTTGCTTAGTCCTGACTGATGGTCCACCCATCTGGCTATCTCCTAGTTATGTCTTCAAGCTCAGGTTAAAAGTCACTTCTTCCAGGAAGCCCTAACCATCTTGTTCAATGCTCTTCTTGTATCTGACGGGCTCCACTGTGTGCTTGGGGGAGGGGAGGGACCTCTGAGGCATCTTAAGGAACTTGGATTTTTCTCTGTGTGAGGTTGGAAGCCATGGAAGAATTTAGAGCTGAGGAACAGCCTGATCTGACTTCTATTTTCACACAGTCCTGTGTGTTGAGGATTGATGGCAGGAGGCAAGGCTGCAACAGGGAAGGCATTAAGAAGGCTGTTGAGTTTCACCAGGTGACAGGTGGGGGTGGCTCAGCCCAGGGAGGTAGCAGGGGATGTGGTGAGAAGTGGTCAGACTCTGAATGGATTTCAAAGTAGAAACAACCAGACTCACTGACAGTCTAGACACAAGTGTGCCGGGGTGAAGGGAGGGGTTAACAATGACCTCAGGCTTTAGCCTGAGCAATGGAAATGTGGAGTTGGCATTTGCCGTAATGGAGAAAGCTGTCGTAATGGGACAGGGCAGGGCAGCGGGGGCGCTTTGTGGTGGGGACGGGGAGGACCAGGAGCTCAGCTTGTAAAGTGCCTTAGACATCCAAGCAGAGAAACTGCTGGCTGCCTGGAGTTTAGGAGCAAGGTCCAAGCCAGCGACAGGCACTGAGCGTCACCCACACATAATGTGCACCTAAAGTTGGAGAATGACTGAGAGCATCGCAGGAGTGAGGGTGGGTACAAAAAAGAAGCCGCCCAAGAGTCGGAGCTTGGGGCACCCCGGTGCTAAGAAAGAACCAGCTATGGAGACTGAGGAGAGGCAGCCACAGAGGTGAGAGGAGAACCAGGATAGCAGGGGCGGCTTGGCAGCCACAAGAGGAATGTGCTTCAAGGACAAGGGGTGTCAGCCGTGTCAAAGGTGCAGGAAGGCCTCCAACATGAGGTCAGAGAATGGCCCCCAGGAGTAAGGAGCATACAGGCTGCGGGTGATGGCGATGAGAGCTGTGGGTGGGCAGTGAGGGTGTGGCTTGAGTGCAGGAAAGACTGAAACAGTGGGTGGGGAGACTTGCTTGAGGAGTTTTGTGTTGCTAAAAAGGGAAGAATGGGAGAGTAGCTGGCGAGAGTCCTGTGGGTTTTTAAAGATAGATGGTATAACCACATGCTTGTACGTTCATGGAGGTAACTCAGCAGGAGAAAGCGAAACTGTGAAACGGCGGCTTTGGGGAGCTGGGGTAGCTTGGGATCCAGCAGGTGCGGGAGGGGAGGTCCTCAGTAGGCCCCACCACCTACAGCAGTGCTGTGAGGCAGAGTCCGGTGCAGGTGCAGGTGGAGGAGGAAGGTTTCTTCCGAGAAAGGAGGTAAGAAGAAAGCAAGGCTGTCAGCTGAAGGTGAGGATGGAGGATGGGAGTTGGAGAGGAGGAGTGGGCATCCGGAGCGACTGCCAGAGGTGTGTAATGATGGCTGCCAGGCGACAGCAACCGGGGTGGCTGTGTTTCTTCTCCACCTGCATTCAGCTAAGTGCAGGTGCTGAGTGGAGTGAGAGGGAGAGGAGGGCACGGAGAGGCCCATGAGTGAAGAGTGATGTGATGTGACCTGTCCCAGAACCCCGGGCAGTGAAGGCAGGAGGTCAGAGGTGAGGTGAATGGGCGGCAGGGGCAGGAAGGCGTAAGAAGCCTTCTCAGGGTGGGCTGGGGGAGCTCTGGCACATGTGCAGCTAAGGGGAAGGATCTGGGGACGGGAAAAGATTAGAGGGTTAGGAGTTTGGGGAACTGCCAGAGCAAGACCCTGCAGAGGGCAGTATTCCCTGGGGACCAGGGCACCAAGGGAGGGGCAGCTTTGGAGAGGGACAGGGCAGGGGGATGCAGAAGCAATGGTGTTTGTGCCTTCTGTGCTCTTGAGGAAACAGAGCAGCTAAAGGGCGGGGTCTACAGGAACTTGCAATTCCTCAGCTCCACCCAGCCCCGCCACTTGGTGAATACCACAGCCCAGCAGGTCCCCCGCAATGTCCATTTTCCCATGATGTATTTCTACACTCAGCTTCTCCAAACCAGACTTTTGTAGAAAGGGATAACCTGCCAGCTCTTCTCCTCTGCTTGTCACTGCGAAGACCCCACTCCCATCCCGTCTTCTGCTTTGCTCTCCTTGCCGGGACTAGGGAGGAAGCCCCAGCTCCCAATTCACTCTCACTTGGGAAGAGCACTTAGGCCACAAACCTGAAACCCACCCTGGAGCCAAGGGGTGTCTTCGCACAGGAAAAAGCCATACCCCGCTGCTGGGCTTGTGTACAGTACAACTCCATCCTTGCACTGCCAGGCGTGAAGGCAGGAAGGTGGGGTAAGTCAGAGTCACCGCTGCTTAGGTTGATTTGTGTTGTTATTTAATTTATGGGACACATTAATTCTAAATAATACTTGAGCCTTCCTTCCCCTTCCCTCTTGTTCTTCCCTTCCTTTGTTCTTCCCCTCCTCCCTTCCCTTTCCCCATTTTCCCTCCTTCCTTACCTCCCTTCCTTTCCACTTTTCGACAAATACTTGCTTAGACTCTGCTGTGTGCCTAAGAAAATCTATATGAAGGTGATACAACAGAAACAGAGGAAGAGGTGGACCCCCAAGGAACTCACCCAGCAGCCTCCACAGTACTGCCCCTTGCTAACAGCATCCTGGTTTTGCTCAATCTGGGGCAGCAATGTGCTCAGGGAGTGTTCCCCAGGAGAAGAGGTAAGACTGATGGAAAGCAACCTGAGCCTCCCTGCTCACCCTGTCTATGATTACCTGGCAGCAGGCGGGGGGGAGGGCTGTGACCCAGATCTGGTAGGTGGGGCCTGAGAGGAAGTGGACTGGAGATTTAGGTGCTTCTTCCCCAGGGAGAAGAAGACATTCAAGAGATGGAAAGTCGCTCCTGTGCTTCTTCCCTGGAGGCTGTATTGAGAGGATATGATCCTCCGATCTGTGGCAGTCACCTAAGAATAGGAGAAAGGCAAGTAAAGTATAGAAAAGCTATCTTGAGTCCCGGCATCACTGAGCTGCTGAATTAACAACCCTGGATCCACCTACTGCCAAATTCTTGTTTGCAAAATAACGAATTGTCCTTATTGTCCGCATTCATTTCAGTTGGGCATTCTCATATTTTGTAACCAAAGGCATCTTACCTACTGCAGCAAAGCAGAAATAAAGAACTATGATTTTTCTGTCACATGTGGCTCTGAGCCTCCCGGATGCTGAGGTGAAAAGGGAAACGAGATGAATTGCCAAGCTCTCATTCTTAGTCAGGAAGAGTTTCTCAGGGAGTTTCAGCTTTTTTGCCCCTAAATTCTTTGTTTGACACTAAATTTCCACATGGGAGTTTAGGAAAGGAACACTGGGATACATAATTGCTAGACCCAGGGTAACTGATTCACAGAAGAAGCAGTTTTCAAGGGCTCTTAAGAGAACTAGGATCTAGATATAAACAGAGAGTTTAAACAGAGAGGAGAGTCAAGTGGGAGCTGCTCCATGCCCTCCCCACCCCAGATGGTCACATGAATGAGCAGATACTGAAGAGACCACTGAGAAACTGTGAACACCGAGCAGAAGGCAGAGCCCAGAAGGACGCAGAGCGTGGAGCTGCAGGGGAGCAAAAGCCCCTGACCCACCACTGCTAGGGGCAGCAGCTGTGAGTGGGATGTGGAGTGAGTAAAAAGGAGGGCAAAGAAAAGTGTGAAAGGGAGAGAAGAGGACCTGGCTGGGGAAACCCCTGGTTTGTAGAAACCTGGGCACGGATAAAGGTTTCTCGGGGATGGCGGAAGGGGGCTGGTGGGAGGCAGAGGTCTAGTCTGCCCTGGGCTCTCCATGTCTCAGGCCCATTGGCTGTGTGTGACCTGCATCACACCTTCTGTTCCTGGGGACCGTGGGTGTTTATCTGGGCTCAAGCAGCACTGTCAGGTCTAGGGAATGACTGTAAATCCCATTGGTATCTCGCCTCTGAGTGCTGTCTGGCCCAAAGTATCTGAGGGTTCTCCCGATAGAAATGTGGTATTTGAAAATTCAAATGAGCCAGGCAATTACTTTGAAAAAGCTTTTACCTTGTTGAGGATTCAAAACAGATTTTCATGAAAAATGCTGTACTCTCTGTACCTTTTCTGTAGTATATCAATAGATGCCACACTCACACATACACGGACATAGCAAATATATTTGGAAGAATTCAACAAGCTTCTTTACTGCAATATGTCTTGAAGGCATTAGTATCATATGTCATCAAATCTAAGAGATACCTTCAATTGGAAAATGTGTCGTTATTTAACGTATTACTAAGAAAAGAAAAATGTCCAAGATGGAAAGTCTCACAGGAGATGCCTCCCTAAAAATGGAGCAATGAAAGGCTCCACTGTCGGCTGGGCGTGGCGGCTCACGCCTGTAATCTCAGCACTTTGGGAGGCCAAAGCAGGTGGATCACCTGAGGTCAGGGGTTCGAGACCAGCCTGGCCAACATGGTGAAACCTCATCTCTACTAAAATTACAAAAATTAGCCAGGCATGGCGGTGTGCACCTGTAATCCCAGCTACTTGGGAGGCTGAGACAGGAGAATCACTTGAACCCAGAAGCCGGAGGTTGCAGTGAGCCGAGATCGCACCATTGCATTCCAGCCTGGGTGACAAAAGTGAAACTCTGTCTCAGAAAAAAAGGAAGGAAGGAAGGAGGGAAGGAGGAAGGGAGGGAGGGACGGAAGGAAGGAAGGAAGGAAGGAAGGAAGGAAGGAAGGAAGGAAGGAAGGAAGGCAGGCAGGCAGGCAGGCAGGCAAGAAAAGAAAGACTCCACTGTCAGTACAGAAGAAAATGAGAAATAAACCCGCCATGGAGAGGAACAGCAAGGAATCAACAGGTTTCTATTTTGGCCCTGGCGAGGGGAGAGAGAAATAGGGAGAGATGCCCTGCACTGATCATTAGAACCATAAGCTGGTTCTCATTCTGGGGTCACACCATTCAGCAGATCCCCAAGGAGTTTCAGGAGTTGTGTCCCCAGATCACTGGCAGAAGCAAACACAAACCCTCTCTGAAAGAACTCAATTTCAGCCCAGGCCAGTAGTGATTGCAAAACACTAATTGTGAGATGTTTCTTGATTTGGGGATGTTAAAATGCGAGAAAATGTGCACCCAGGCATAGATGAGGACAGTGAGCCCTCATCCAGAGAAGGTCAGAGTATTCAGCCCTAACTACTCTATCCCACTGGAGAGCTCCTGGTTAGCAGTGGTCACTGTTGCCACTATTTATGGAGTGCTGACTTGGTGCCAGGCTCCGGGTGCCAGGCTCTGCACACATCAGCTCTTGTCGTCCTCACAGCACCTCTGCATGGGGACAGCAGTGTTACTAGTATTTTCAGTAGGGCAAACTGAAGCAACTTTACTGAGGCTGCACATGAGTAAATGACAAAGCTGGGCTTTGAGTCCATGCTCATCTCTGGTATCCTGAAGGTGGTGTCCATCAGACATTTTTCAAAGGATGCTACTTTGGCCTGCTGAACCTAGCATATTGCCAAAAATGCAATTTTTCAGCAAAGCGTCTATTCCCTACACAGAGGTAATTTCTGCATCAAAGTCTGTCTTATCCCACCCTAGAAGGCTGCGCAAAGGCTCTTGCTGTCCAGTGGTCTTGGCTGTATGGGTATTCCTGGGCTCTGGCTGGATAACCCTGTACTTGCTGTAAAGGGATCACTGGTGGGCATGAGAACACATCATTCAATGTCTTCTCCTCTTTTCTGATTTTAGAAGATGTTAGTATAAATATCACAAAACTTCCGAAATATGACCAGGCTCCAATCACCTTTCGGGTCCATGTCCTGTCCCTCCTGAGGCTCAAAGACCTCAATCTAGGGAAGCAGCATCCCGTTCCCTCCCCACAGAGCTATGTAGATCTCGGGGGTCATCTGGAGAGCCAGAGTCTGACTGAGTAATAAATCCCCTCCCTGCAGGACGACTAGCCAAGTTTTATTACAGATCCTATCACAATGAAAAGGGCTGGTACTCCTGTGATTGAGCTAATCCTGTCACCGTGTAAATCAATAGGAAACCCACAGGAGGCGATTTGATTTAGGATGTTCATTTTGGGAAGGTGGTCTTCCTACAACATTGGAGTCAAGATATTGCTAGGGCACTTCCATGACAAATGGAAAGTTCAGCCCAAAAGGACCAGACTTGTTAATAAAATAAATTCAGATCTCTCCAAATAAAAATTCAGATGCATTTTAGTCTCCCTCAGTACATCAGGCTGAATCCCTTAATTTACCACATTATTATGGAAACACCCTTACCTCTGCCTGTCAAAATCACTGACATTGCGGGGGCTCCGTCTTGGGAGACACTAGCTGCTTTATAATTATTTAGCTGATGTGCAGTGTACATTATCTTGAAGCAGGCCATATACTCGAAGAAGAACAGTACCGGATCCAGGATGAATCTGAGGGATATCTGGCCGGCAGGAGAAGGGGAAGAGAGGTAACACATGTTGCCCAGACATACTGCTGCTAGGTGACAATGCAATGCCTCCAACTCTGTCCCCTTGACTCAGGCCAATATCCCTCTTCTACAGGCCAGTTGGCCAGGCAGCCAGGGCCATGTCAGGCAGAGGCAGACTGAGGGTTCTGGGTACTGTTTCTGTCCAACAGGTATGGTGGGTTCTCCTCTAGGGCTGCCAGTTTGCATGAGGGCCTCGTGTCTCTCCATTGGCAGGGGCTGATGAGCATCCAGTCCATCTGTAGGAGGGACACACAGTGGCTGTCTTCTGCAGCGTGGACAGACCTAGAGTGACTGCCCAAGCAGCGGACCCCACTTGCCGGGGGAACACAGGGAGGTGAAGCTGCATCTAGAGCAGCAAAGGGAAGGCCGTGTGGGACATTGATCTCCAGGTTCCAAGATGGGCCCTTGGCAGGAGCCCTTGTGAACATGGATGTGACTTGTTGGGATGGGGCCTCCCACCACGCCTCCTGTTCTCCCACCTCCATTAGGGGTGACTCACACCTGCAGAAAGGATGAATCATGTGGGTTACGAAACCAAAGGGCTCCTGAGAGCGAGGCTGGAAAGGACCTCGGAAACCATCTATGCAGATCCTGTCCTCTGCCCATCCCCTCTTGCCCCAGCCTCTCAACTCAGGCTGCCAAGCCACAGACTCCAAGTGAATCCTGCACGCTCAACAGGAGACTGCTCCTGGAACTGAGCATCAGAGAAGCAGCTTCTTTCCCACCTCAAGGCCTTCTCGACCTTTTTGTTTTACTTCCTGTATTAAGCAGGCTGATGGCTTGCTTTCTGCAAGTGGGCCAGTGGGACCAATGGGTCCTGGGAGGGATGACAGAAGGGATCTAGCAGCGATCCTTACCCTTCATAATTCCTTGGTCATGGAACATTTCCATACATCTCCAGGGTACTTCAAATCATTATCCACTGGATACCAGGCTGCTCCAGGCAACAGGGGTGAGGATGATTCAACTCACTTTCCCACTGCTGGTCCCAGCTCAGTGGGTGCTTCTAAGAGTGTACATCATCTAGTGAACACCTACCACAAGGCAGGCCCTGGGCTCATAAAAACGAACGTTTATGGACAGCTTATTGTACAGCAAAAACGGACCTCATCCTCAAATCAGCCCGATGGGGTAGATACCACTGTTCCCCCCATTTTACAGGTGGGGCACCTGCCCTCAGCCAGGACAGTCATTTGCCCAGATGGGCTCTGTGCGGTGGTTTCTCGGGTACATGCTCGTGAGCCCGGCTAATTCGCCACATGCCTTTGCCCTGTTCAACATGCCCCTTCAGCCATGCTGGATCCTGAGCGATCCAGTGTCTTCCCGGCAGTTTCTTCTCCCTGGGACCCTGCACACTGGCAAGCCCTCTGTCTAGGGAGGCGGGCGAGGCCGCCGGGCGTCTGAGGCCCCGCCAGGTGAGTGCAGCCTCCGGGTGTCCGGCCGGTCTAGGGAACAGGGTACTCACCTGAGACGCCAGGGCCTCCCCGCTCCCAGCAGAACTCGCGGGGCCGAGGCCGCCGCTGGGGCGGTCCTGCGTCCCGAGAGCCCCAAAAGTCGGCGGAGAAGTTCCCCCGGTGGGGGGCGTTTCGGGCCTCCCGGACCGGTCTCGGCCCCGGAGCCCGGCCGCAGGAGCGCGGGCCCGGGGGCGCCGCCGGGCCGCGCGGGCGGGAACGCGCCGCGGCCGCCTCCTCCTCCCTGGCTC